AAATAAAAATTGTCGGAAATGCAATGCAAAATTCCGGAAATGAAATGCAGCGAAAAATTTGTAAGTCCTGTTTGTCAAAAAGCATTGAGACACTCATAATTATTAGGGAGGGATTCTCCTCATATTTCTTGTATTTAAAGATTAATGAAATTTTCCTAGCTTCGAGAAGACATTATCATGTCAAGTGATGGTATAATTACATTAAATTTGACCATTTCATAAGGAAGGTCAGGTCAAGGTCATTATCTTTTTCCTTGACTTTAAGAATAAAAAATACTGTTGCCAATCTTGCGATACCTACTTCTATTTCAAAAGATTAAATGTTTTTCTTTTTGCAGAAAAAGATATTAGCATGTATAGGGTCTATTAGATGATACTACCAAATTGACATAAATAATTTAACTAAAATAGATATTGGCTAATCCGAATTTCCTCTATTTTTCCTAGATTTTTAGGATATATTAGTTATTTTTATATGCTTCGTTTTTTGTTTGTGTGTTGTTTAACGTCCCTCTCGAGAATTGTTCACTCATATGGAGACGACACCATTTGCTGGTGGAGAGCTGCAAATTTTGATCTATACTCGGCACTGAGGGCTATTGAGTAGTGAGGGATCTTTTTCGTGCCAGCACCTACTGCGACAAGGGACCTCGGTTTATACGGTCTCATCTATAGGACTGGTCTCCACGTCCCACAGTGGGATTCGAACCCGCGACGCAAGGATCAACTCGTTACTCCGCGATTCTAGAGCAGACGCTCCAACCACTATATTTAAATTTTTCTTATTTTCACATAAGTAGTCATATAAAGATACGAATTGATACAAAAACAGAAAGTTTTGACCGTTTAATAAGAGAGAAAAAAAAACTTTTTTACGGATTTTTTGCTCAAATCTTGCTTAGATTGGAAGCTTTTAAAAGCTAACAATATTGTAGTTTGTTTGGAAAATCATATTTATTTGATATATCTTTAAACTTCAGTTCCATTATTTTTAATTTTACTTACATTTCAAATTTTCTTGAAGTCTTTGGTTGTTTAAAAATTTTAACTAAATTAATTGTTTTATAGTAATTTTGAGAAGCAGAATAGGAGATATTTTCATACGCCGCCGTTCCGCCAAAAATAGAGTCCATATTATTTCAAACTCAGTTTACCATTTCTATTTAAAGTTGTACAGCTATGATGAGGAAAGAAAAATATGATCTTTTAAATCCCTTACATCTAAACATATAAGATGTAATATACATAAGCAAATATACTTTGAAAATTTCAACTAATCAGAAACCAGACAAGAATCCCTTCTTTAGAAATATATTATACTTCTTATCTTCACCTTGTAACCAATAGGCAATAATTTTATGATTTATCATCCTATTTCTTTTTTCTCCGATTTCCATATTCATGACTTAACTATTAATAGTTAACAATTCACTGAAAATAAAAGTATTCAAAAATGCGCGGGACGGGACAGTTTAAATTGTTTTGCAAGAATATCTAATAATGTTTCATATATACTTTTGCTTCTTTGAAATTTATTTCTTTTGACTTTTTTCATGAGTAAATACTTTAAAATCCACACATTTTGTTGCGGCCAATTTGAATTACTTTGCATCAATTTCAATTGTATGTACATAAATCTGGTGTCTATGGGTGGAATCACCTCGAAGGACGTTCAACTACTAGTATACACTGTCAATCAATCAAGTCCTCTCGATGTACCAAAAGAGAATGAGTTATGTATAAAACTGGTTTATATATAGTAATTTATGACATACAAACTGATATTTTGGGGTTAGAATTCTACACTTTTTAAATTTTAACTAATGCCCAGAAGCTATTCCGATATTTGTGGAAAAAAATAAGATCATCTTGGCTGATATTTGTCAGTAAGGGTAATTGAACGAAGATCATTGTTATTAAAAAGATCTTATTCGACAGAACTTTGTCATGAATGCACGGTGATAATGTATCAGTTTCCGGTGTCTGTTGACTTGACCTTATCATAATCATATTAATCTATAATTAGCGATTACTTACCTTTGTCATTTGTCACTGATTTCTTTTTAGGCATAGATAGCTTCAACACGTCACTTCCCTGACACTTCTTTGTGTGGGTTGATTAGTTTTAATGAATCTTTTAATAACATACGGCTCTTCTGTAGGTTTCATTTCAGCCCCGGGGCAGTGTACTTTCATGCAGTTTGACACTGATTCTGATGTCCATCAATTTCGATTTATCGTGCCCCCTTTCAATACATGTTTAAAAAAAAGATCAAAGCGTTTAATACAATATCTGTAGCTGTCCAGCTTTGCTGGAGTCAAAAATTGTCATATTAACATCTGGGGTTATATTCTATAACTTTCCAGGGATCTCATGGCAATAATTTTATAGTACGTGTATGTAGTTTATATATCTGCTGGTATTCCTTTTGGAAGATGCATGTGTTTCACTTGATTTCATTGAAACGACATTTCTATTTGGAAAAAAAAAGAAGTTTTTGATTCATGTGCATGTACCTAGTCCAAGTAAAAGTCCCTTTATGCTATGCATGATTTGTTTCACAAAATATTGTTAAAAAGGAAACTATAAAATCATTTGTTTTATCACCTGATATAATCTCACAAGAGTCATTATCAATACTTGTTTGCAAACAGAGAAGCAGATTTCTTATGTTTAGCTGCACTTTATCTCTGTAAATATTCAAAAATGTTCGTCCATTTGCCAAATTTCCACCCCTTGACAGGAACACATGAAAAGGATTATAAATCATCTCTTATAAAACCAGATTTTATTTATCAAAATCAAGATTAAGTAAACGTTTTGTGTCCCAGCCTATGCCCAGTGGGCCTTAGATTCAGAAGTAAAAAAAAGAGTAAAGTTTGCCAGAATCTTTTGATTGGAAAAGGTGAGAAGTTTACAAGATACAACAAACTACGATGCGTTGTGCGAAGTACAGAGTCAGTCTTGCAAAACATCACAGACGTAAAAATCAGAAAACGTTTACACAATACGAAATAAAACTTGAGATATATCGCTCAACGATAAAGTTTTATTGTGGGAAAGAAACGGGGTCAATTAGTTTTATTACTTAATTAGCAAATATTTGTCAATTGCAGATACCCCAGTCATTTACTCCGTCTGTTTAAAATCTTACCAGTAAGATACCCGTGTCTAAGCAATAATTTATGTGGGGTTAATCGCATGAAGATGCATTCATTCACAGAAAATTTCACTCCAAAGGTGTAATCTTTCTGGATTGCCTTAATTAGGAAATTGGTGGTAATTATCTGGGGCATATGCTCCTCTTTGAAGCTCTTCGGAAACAGGAGTAGCACACTCGAGTGTGGGGCATGATCTTGGATGACATGGCTTTGGGCTATCTCTGTTTAACTTTTTATGCCCAATTTCGTTTTAAAATTTTAAGTAAATTATGTCCAAGTCTCCATGACCATTTTCTTTGTTTACTAGGAGTGAAATTTTCAATCCCTTCATTGTTCCGACACTTTGCGCTTGAGGCTTTTTTTTTAACAGTGAACATTGGCAAGTTTGAGAGGGAAATTTGATAGTACCTCCATTTTCAGCCAGATCTTAAAACATTTAAAAGGTTGGACAAATAATCTTTTTATTCACGGTTAAAACTGAAAGCAACGGTAAACAAAAGCTTTATTACCAATAACCCTGCAAATTTATGATTTTAAAAACATCCATTCTCAATGAATAAATCAAAAGATTTTTTTTCTCTTATAAATAACTGTTTATTTTCCAAACTGTCACAGATATACTTGTTTACAGATTAATCTTAATCCTTAAAGGTACCCCAAAATAATCCCCCCTGGCAGTAGTCTGGTGGACTATTGAGTATTCAGTCTCTCCCCAGCACAGATAACGGAGCCGATCAGTCAATAAACTTATGGTAATTAGGTAAACAAGTGTACATAAATTAAGCACTCAAGACACATTACTTAGAGGTGGACAAGCATTGCTTTATAGACTCTCTACCAAACATTGCGTCACACGGGAATAATAAAAGATTATGCCATATTCTTACTGACTGCAACATACAGTTGCTAAATTGCATTATGTGCTTTGTACATCACAAAGAAAGTCTATAAAATAAATAAAATCATTGAAATTTGGTGAATGCAAATTAAGCAATATAAACTAGTTCGGGCTTTTCGATAAATCAAACTGTAAATGCGCCAGTTGCTGCATCCCTCTCTGAATCTGTATATAAGATTCGTGATGAGTTGGAGTTTGGCCTTGCAGTATGGTACATCAAATCTACATACTGTCATTCACACCTTTTGGTAGGACCGCGTCCGTTTCACAGTTTCAGGCCCGTACAACGGGGGGGGGGGGGGGGAGTGTAAGAAAAGTCTTCCGTCGTTAATTTTTATTCGAACCCTCCTTTTCTTGTAGGAGTCTGATTACCCCCCCCCCAGTTATTTTAATGAAGACAGCAAACATTTATCCATATAGGGTACACAGAGTTTGTTTCTTACTACGAAGCAATATATATATATATATATATATATATATATATATATATATATATATATATATATATATATATATATATATATATATATATATATTTGAAGTTTTACCAAGTTTAAAACTGGGGCAGTTAAGAGAAATTCTCTTTATGAATATTCGCTTCTAAATTAAAAAATACCACAGCATTCACTTCTATCAATTTTAGACCACATTTTATTTGCTGATATAGGACTCGCAGTGACGTATGCTTTGGGCAGTTGAGCTGCTCTCTTTAATATTGGCGGTTTAAAAATACGATGTTCACGTACACAAACTTAGTCTTAAGAGGTCACGTGATCAGAGGATCACGGTCGAGTAACGTTAGTCGTTATCAGCACGATGTTGAGGAATTAGATAGTATCGGGATCAAGGAGGTTCCGTTTATTATTGTGACACACTCACGGAATGGACATGATGTTATGCAAAGCTGAATTCAAAAATTTATTAGAAATTGCAAAACATTGACATTTCAGTTGATACAACGTAATCATTCTGGTGAAATAGGTTGATATATTGTTCGGTGAGTATATATATTTTATATTGCCATTTTTTTTCCTTTAAATTGAGTTTTTAATGGACTTCAATTTTCATATTTAATTTTATAATGATTTATACCATTTTTTAAATTTTTTTTATTATAGTAGAAACAAAATATTTTTTTCTGTTGAAAAAAAGAAGTATGTATCTTAAGCTGTACAAATTGTAAAATATAAATTAAAGCTTATAATTAATATATTAGTTGAAGTTTCACAATGGCATTTTCATCATTCTCAATCATTAATTAAATACAAAATTGTATAAATCCTACAAGAATGCCAAAATGATAAACTGTTCCTTGTGACCAGTTCTTTGTGAAGCAAATCAATCTGGATTGGTCAAGTTAACCAGCAAAATCTCTGCTCAGTTAATTAATTCCCCAGTAATCACCCGTCAAGTTGATTAAATCTTAAGGACACATGCAGAGAAATTCCCTGCTTCTTTAGGTGTATAAAGAGAATCTGTCTAGGTGGTCATCTATAGGTATAACACACTGGGTTATCTCATATTGCACTTAACAGTACTGGCCATACAATTTATATCATTTTGTGTATCAGCTAGTAATATATAAAAATAAATTACATGTTGGAAAAATATCCAATGCAACACTCTGACATAATTTCCAAAGAACAAATGTGTATTATATTACTACATTTTATTAATTTTTTTTTACCAGTCAATCTAAGTAGGAGCTGGAAATATATCTCTACATAAAATTTTATATTGTTAAATGCTTAAACCTATCTTTCTCATAGTTTAATCTTTTTCCAATTACAAGTTTAATTTTAACAGCTGATGAGGGAGTAATTGATTCTGACAGTCTTATAACAGTTTCTATAATTGGAGTGGTAGGTTTTATGTACTGTTGGCTATCTACCCAAACTGGACACTATGTCTCACCAAGACATTAGCAGCACATCAATGACACTTTAAGTGTAGGAACACATGGAGAATTTCTCTCCCAATTTCATCAGTGATAATGACTATTTCTCTAGTGGGCCTTCTAAGTCATCAATCATCCCGAAAGTAGAGTTCAGGTGGTCAGTGGGCTCCAGCCAAAAGAAACTTCTCAATTAAATCACATCTTCAAAAACGGATGGGAGAGAAAGTCATTTGAATTTTTTAGGTGGCGATAATTTTTTTTTTTTAAAAGTCGTTGAATTGTGTCTCTAAATTAGCTACTATAAAATAGTATAATTTTAAAAGACATGTTGGCACATTTTTATTCCATTTTTTCCATTTTAAAAACTATGCACCTTGAGAAATGATTGACTTAAGTGAAACTTTTCAGATAATGAAGAACTGTAACAGATTGCTAAGCTGTTTATTATTTTCTGTCAAAGGGTTCAATGCTTAATGCTCAGATAAAGCTGTGACTCTAATGGACAGAAATGTAGAGGGAAAATGACAAACCATTTACTCAGTAGAGCAAAGAAAATTACACATTTAAAAGGACATCAAATGTTGGAATTACAGAAATATTTGCTATAATTTCTAGTAGATACATACTGTTCATATACATATATATCATCTAAACTGCATCAACCTAAATTTTGTTGTAAATAATTCTATACTGTAGTTTGCTGTCTTTGGAAGACCTTCACTGTATAATTTGGCCAGGTATATACTGTATGTCCAGAGTTGTTTTTCATAATTTTCATATCAAGGCTGAAACAAAGTAACTTTGAAGTTGTGGAAAGTTCATCAAAGCTAATTGTGGAATTAATTAGAAGAAAGACCCGGGATAAGACAATCAGCTTGTAATTTACTTGGTTATTTAAAAAGAAAGGAAAATTATCAAATAACGCTATTGCTCCCATGATGCACCAGCATCCATACAGATATGATAACGAATTAATACCTACAGCCTTTGTGTGGTGTCAGTGGGTCTTTTTGTTGCATCAATATATTGACACACATGAATATGATAATTCATGCTGATTAGGAAAAAAAGTTGACAAACCCTTCTTATATCACAGGACAGATTTACATGATAATGTGGATAGCATATTAAAGGTAGTGAGTATTTTTTTGTTTAATTCTTTATTCTAATGGATAAGACAGTTTCCATTTAACGGTTCTCTATCATTTCCAGTAATATGTTAAATGCTATTTTTGGTAGAAATCTTCAATTGTTCAGAATTATCTTAATTAATGTCAATTTAAAAAATAGTTCTAATATTATGAAAATGTTTAATTTTCAAAGTTTGATGATTTTTATTTATTGATCGAATTATTAATAATTCATGTAAAGCTCCTGCAACTGTTCAAAGTGTAAATATTGACAGCTTGTAAGTTAGATCGGGGTAAATATTTACTTACATAATGCATATTTTAACATAGAAAAAAAACCATTGAAAACATTTTTTTGTCTATGAAAATAAAAGTTTCTTAAGATTTTTTTCTTGATCTGCTGCTTAGGAAAAAAAACTTGAGGAAAAAAACTTCAAAACAAAAAATCTCAAATGCACCACTGATGAGAATACCAGTAATTGGTAAATCTAATTACGTAATAAAGATATTGGAAACAGACACAGACAAGAGATAAATTTAAGCAGACACATTAATTCAAGTGTGGGTTTCACAAAGTCTTCTCAAATTATGCCCAATTCTATATTGTTTTTCAAAGATGAAACAAAAGTAAAGAATGTAGGGATGTTTATATTCGGCATATTTAATATGACTCTGATTCATTGAGCTGAAATTGCTTACAGGGGTCATGATGGGGGTCATTTAATATTATAGATTCATTTGACCCATGTACAAAAGAGAGCTGTTTCTTGGACCAAAAGGTACAAAGATTTTTAAAAATATTCAAGCACTAGGCATCTCACGTATCAGTGTTATCTCACCAGACGATCACAATGAGCCGTTTACATGGTATAGGGTTTGAGGTTGATATATCTCGATAAGGGTTTTGATAACTTTGTTAGATAAAGATATGCGTATTGATATGTGTGTCTTGGCCATGTATGGGAGAACTCCAAATTTAAATGTGTAGGCAGGTGGTATTGTAAATTTGAAAATCCCTTTATTGATTTTTAAGAATTTGTTTCTTAAAATATCTATTTTTTGTGAGCATCTTCTATAAATGAGGATGGTAAGTGTTCTATAAGTAGGATGACTAGAGTTATTTCAATGGTTTTCTATACTGAATTTCTCATAAAATATTCAAGTATCAAAGAGAAAAATAAACAACTTTGTTTCGTGTCCCTTGCTATTTTTTAAATATTGATTTGTTTGATAAATAATTGGTTATGAGATAATGAAAATATGGAAGATTTATGAACAGGAAGGATTGAGCCTGAAATATCATACCTATTGCTCAGTTTTCTGGATAAACGGCTAAGTTACACCTGAAAACAATGACTATGATCAGATATCAAGCCAGATACCCAATGCATTAGATCAGCATGAATGGATATCAGATTGATAATTTTCTAAAACAGTGGAATGACACAATTGTGTGTTTTTTTTTCAACACAGGCCCTGAAATAAACAAAATCATTCAGTTCTCAGCTGTTTCAGTGACTAATAATTTGGCCGATTTCTTTTTTCTTTTTTTATCAAACTTGGTACACCTGTAATTCTCTGTTTCACCTGTTGCGACCTGGTCAATACCTGTACTTGAATAAGGATTTATTGCAAAAGCAAAGAAGAGGCTCACTTTAGAAGTTTTATGATCTAGCTATGTTTGGACAAGAGTGCTTGTTTGTTGAGAAAACTTTAGGATATTGTCAATTGCACCTCAAATATGGTTAAACTTGGTGCACATACATGATAAATCAGCAGGTTTATGGCCATGAAATTAGGTCTCTATAAAGGTGTTCACACATAAAATGGCTATTTTATTTTTGGAAAGTCTACAAAGAATATCTATGAATAAAGCTGTCATAATTTCTGAAGAAGACAGAAATATTTTATGAAAAGGAATTTATTTAAGATTACTGAGGAATTCTCCTTGTTAAAAAGCTTTTTGCAAATTTTTTGGTTCAAAGATGTGCAATTCTAAAGATGGATATGCATAAAATCATATAATATTTTAATGAAGTTCTTCAAAAAAAAAAAACACAATATCACTTCAGGGAGTTTAGTTAACTAAGCTGGAGTAGAATGTTTAATTTAATAGTAGAAATTTAGTTATAAAATTATAAAATCAACCATTTTAATCATGCATAAGCAAAGATGATTTAAAAAAATATGCCAGGCTATAAACAAGCCCAACCAACCAACCCCCCCAACCCCAACCCCAACCCCAACCCCCCCACCACCACCACCACCACCAAAAAAAAAAAAATAATAATAATAATAATAGAGAAAATTCTAGGAGAGGTTGAGAAAGACAGTTTCTCCGAGAGAAAAAAAAATGAGCTTGATACCATCCAACAATTATTTTGTAATACAAATTATTTTGTGTCATATTGCTTCAATTCAATTTTATATTATTAAGAGGGCTGTTTGGAAATTATTGAGATATTTTGTTTATTCTCCTCTTTAATGAACATCTTTTGGTGAAAATTTTAATAGCATATAGATTTAACAAACACTAACAATAAATAAAAGCAAGAAATATTTCGGAAATATTTGATTTTTTGTTTTCAATGATATATTACCCAGTAATGTGTTGATGGTGGGATACCCGGCACATTCATGAAATCAGATAATAGAAATGTGTACTTGGGTAACTACTGATTAAGTATAAGTTTCAGTGGACCCATAGTAAGTGGGAAAGTTATCTAGATTATGTATTTAATTTTTTAGTTTATTTTTGACTTTATTTTGTGCAAGTTTGATAGAATTCTGATTAGAAATATTGACACCATAAAATTTTTTTATTGTATATGTTCAGTAAGCCTCCATGGAAGTATTAATTTTAAAAACAATATTTTTAATTCTTTTGTTTCTAAAGAAAAGTGAAATTGTATGATTTTTCAGCAAGAAAAATGAAATAAATAAAATATTTGGGGAAAAACCCAGGAGCTT